AATGAAGGACAACTCATTTAGAATACATATTTTAAAAGAAAAAATAATTAATGATAATTCATTAAGAGTACATTTGCACTTAGAATTAATGAGCGTAAAATTTTGAATATCACTTAAATATTATTAAAAATATATTTTGAGTTACAAAATAAAAATTAAGAAATTTTTTTTAAAATTTCTAAAAACTATTTATCCAATTTAACTAACTCAGTAAAAAGTAAATAAGTTTTCAAGTGAATTGCAGGTCTCTAGCCAATAAAAATACCACCGAAGTACTTGAAAATGATACAAGATTTTACAAAAAAATATAATACCATTAAACTAAATTATAATTAGGGGCTCTCAGCTTTTTGTTAGTTCTTTTTTTCCTCCCAAAATTAACTTTTTATTTACTATAATATATTATTAAAAGATAAGAATAACATTAATTGTACAATTTAGTTTGTTTGCAAAGCAGGATAGATTTATAGTTACAGCTAAAGATTTAGAGAATACGGCATGCGGGGATTTATGTCCAGGTTGTAAAGTCTTTTTATACTTTGTAAATATTACTTGGTAAATTAAATTCTTTTACTTACCAAAAAGAATATTAAATGTAAGAAGTAGAAAAAAGTTAAAAAAACAGATATCTTCCACCACTTATCCATCACGTTATTTCCAGAATCTTAGAAGTTGGATTTTTTTGGTAACTTTTTAATTAATTTTAACCTAAATGTTAGGATTTCTTACTTAGTCCCATAAGGAAAGATATAATAATTAAACTTTTAGTTGATTCTATTGTCCTAGATATTAGGAAAATAATTTAAATTACAATTTTGTCCAACATAATATTAATTTTTAAAGGATAAAAAATGCGAACAACATTTTTCTAAGGGTCTTCGTGCTTTTAATATAGTACTAGTATCTATGAACGTGCGTTGCACGTTAATAATGGCACGTAATGATTTAAATATTTATTTATGTGAAGGAATAATAAAATTTAATTAATGAGAAAAATTTTATGTATAATAATACAACAATCATCTAAATGCAGAAATATATTAATATAATACATGAATTTAAATTAAAAGGATATCATCAAAACTTACACAAATGATATGGTCATGTTAGCTAGATAATTAGACATTATAATATAAAAGTATTTAATGTGATGGTATCTTAGCGAATATTTCTTTGTGGACAATATTTTTTTGTGCATGTTTCCTCCTAATGCGTTGGCTGTTTTGCCTTAACCAAACCTCTTGTTGTCGATCTTGGTATCCCTCTTGAAAGTACAACATACAATGTTTGTGCAAGAAAATATATTGCAGTAAATATAGTCCAATATTTATGATGTTTGTCCTTATGCTTTATTTGTTATATTTGAAAAACATAAACATACTAAAAAATATTTTCACACAAATTTAAAAGGATATTCCTTAATTGCGGAAGACGAAAGTTGAAGTCAGGGATAGGAATATACTTAGAAGCACATTAACCAGTATCATAATTTATGCATATATAACGTTATTGTCAAAACTTCTATATACAATCTGTGTGGTATTACATAAGCTATTCGGTGGTATCTGAATTTTTCAGTAGCATGACGGACATATTTTTCTTCAAAACTAACTTATATACAATGAAAGAACTATTTCAACTTAGTCTATTATATATACGGTGACAATAACATACATAAGAAATAAGAAACTTGACAACAAACATGTATGGTAGAAGGCCATTTAATATTAAAGTATTTAAGTATTCTTCTTGGTAGTAACTATTGGTATCATTTTCTGCTGAGTCAAACTGAAAAATATTTTGTTTTTATTTAGTTGATCAACATATTCATTTCTCTTAGCTAAGATATTTTTTTAGTTCTATCATGCGATTTGCACAAATTGCGTTTTAAACTAATGATAGAATATTTTTCTTATTAAATGCACTACTATTACCATTAGGATTGATAACCAAGTGTTGAGGATGAACCAAATCATCTTTTATTAGATGCTCTTCTTCGTTCCCGATACGAAGTTAGAAGACACTGAATACTGGATTTGTTCTTACTTTATATTTCTTGTCAATGAACTACTGGTAGTACTTGACAGAAATCACCTCTCAAACCACTAATTTTTCACCAAACGGTTCATTAATATCCAATATATCTATAGAACTCTGGGCAATTATTTTGATTGTTTGACACTTAGCCGTAAGTGCTTTATCCTATATTATCAATTTTGCTTTCCTTATAAATTTAGCATCATTGCTCTACTTTGATATATTTGTGATAGTTATTTAAGTTGTTTGAAGAGGTATATCAAATCTAAAGTGGGTGGCCTCACAATAAAATCGTTGTTGGTACACCACTTGCTATTATTGCTAGCATTGTCATGCCTCTTGATATGATATTTGCGAGTAATGCATGATATAGAAATATTATTTCGACTCTGCCGGAGGCATCTACAAAGAATAATCTCGTTATACCAGAGTCAACTCTTTATAATATAGTCTTGAAAACTTGTTATTGTTTAGAATTTGGTTTTGATTGTGCTTCCTCGGACACTTCTATAGCATTTTGATTCTTAATAATATACTAACCTTTTTATTTTGTGTTCTAACGCTTTTTTAATGGAATAAATTTATGTACCCTAAGATTTTTTTTAACTTGAATAAGAATTTTACTTTTAGACAATGAATGCACACTTCAACAATCGTCGCACCCAAAATTTCTCCTTGTATTTATTTTTTAAATGTTTTGATACATCTTAGTAAAAAAAATTACTTACACTCACTTTGTTGAAAGTAACTTTCATGTGCATTCTCTTCAAAAATAATTATTCATTCTTTTATAAAGTTACAAATTCTATGATACTCAAGGAAGGAAAATAAATAGTGTATTTTCAGTTTAGAATAAGTCTAATTGCAAACTCTAAGAATCAAAATCACAGTGCAAGATTAGTTTTAATGAGCAAAATTTTTTGTCTTTGTATCCAAAAAAAACGAAGTTTTAATATCGACGATATAGTTCGTCTTCAAATCTTTGACTGAATTGTTCATTTAAATAATGATCATTTCACTTATTAACCAACCACCCCTTCCCCAAAAAGAGCTCAATCTTTCAAAATCAATTGTCTGATGATAAAGTAAAACAGAATAAATTCACATGCTTCTTGAAAATAAATAAGAAGCAAAGAAGACAAAAGAATGGAAAAGAAAGGATAGTGAATAAAGTGCTTCGGTCGAGTTTGAATTGCCCGACATAGAGCTAAGAGTGACCTTAACTCTTTCTTAAAACCAAAGCACCCAGACCCAAGTTTTGCTTGTGGGTGCTCATTCTCATTATATAGCAAATTTCCTAGAATTTCATGTAAAATATATAATCTCGAACTCTGAGACAATGGGTGTTTCAGCGTGGATCCGCCCATGGTATTATATATTTATGCCTGAAAATAATTATAGTAATATGATTCCTAAAGGTAATCATATAGGATTCCTAACGTGTAGTATTATGTCCTAAAACTAATAGGATTACAAGGCTAATGTCTAGAATTCCGAGTATGTCCTTTTATTATGAGTTATCATGCTTAATATTAAAAGAATATTTTTGTAATCCAACATTTTATTCATGCTTTTATAATAATATAGATATAAATAGATAGATAAATATAGATAGATAGATATAGATGTACATATTGTTACCAATGCTTTGCTCACGTTATTCCTTCATTTGAACCTGTCATCCAAATTTTAGCATATCTTAAATCTTACCCATTTTAGCCAAACAAATTTTAGGCGGGTCATTATCCAACTAGGGGTGTCAATGGATATTTAAAAATCGACTAAACCGGCTGAAATGTACCGTACCGAACCGATTTTTAAGTTTCTTTTAATAAAACCGTAAGTTTTTATATAAATCTATAACTGTACCGATAATAAGGGTAGGCTTTTTATTTTATGAAAATAAATAATAAATTTACATGTGAAAAATATATTTATATATTAATTTTAAAAATAATAAAGCATTAAATTATTCCTTGGTCTTGGAATTGTGAAAACAGTTACAAGCCAACAAGTAATTAAACTCAAAATCCTAATTCCCAAACCTATTATGCTACTCCAATTGAAACTAAATTATTTCCAACATATATATTCACTAGCAAATTAAGACATAAGGTATTGTAGCGATTATGAGTAGCAAACTACAAAGTATTGAATATGGTTCCTTTGGTATGATTTAGATTTACCTATTTGAATATTCAATCTTCTATAGACTTTATGCTTGAGTCTCAATCCCAGCTTGGTTACTATCTTTCCAAGTGTGATTTATTTTATTTATTAATTTGCTTAGTTTAATTCTTTTACGCCATTGTAGAATAGTTGATGGATCTATACTCTAGCCATCTTTCATATTTTCATAATTCATCACTCTTTCAAATGTAAAAATGTCAAGGAAGTTTTGCTATGCCTTATAAACGTACGTATGTTATTGTATTCTACTCCTACTAGTGACTTTTACATGACATTTTTAAAAAAATACCGAAAATTAACCGAACCGTACCAAAAAGAAACCGATATAATTGGGACGGTTTCGAAAAGTCCAATTTTGGTTATACATAATAGAATAACCAAAAAATTAGTATGGTACAAATTTTACAAAATAACCGGTTGAACCAAATCACTTACACCCCTAGATCCAACCCATCTTAACCCAAGTAACTTTTATACGGGTCAATGACCCACCCATTTATTGACTCACCTACCTTAACCCACCAAAATTAACCCAGCCCGCCCACAGTTGACACCCCGGGATCATTTCTACAAAACCACAACGAAATAAATGTAACGAATGCATTGAGTGACGACAAATATCTTAATGAATAAGGCGTAAAGAGACTAAAATAGCACAGAAGAAAATATAAAAACATATGAAATATCAAAACTAAAAGGCTTTCGCGAAGACTCGAATTTGTCAAGCTTTTGATGTTAGGTCCGCTCATATTAACCGCACCAAACCTCCAAAATAAAACTTAAAAGCATACTTTTCAATAGAGAGAATGAAGAAGGTAGTGATGTAAAACTCAAATACCATCAACTGCCAGATGAGATGGGTGTGGGGGAAAAAATTAAAAGGCAAAAGGGAAAAAGAAGAAAGGGAATTATTAGAACTTGGTACATTCATGATATATGAGAAACAGAGAACAAAAGAAGCCAGCCAAGAGTGATCAAAGACTTGGTCAAACAAGCAGATATTAGTCTCTGTGTTACTATCAATGACTGTATTGAACTAAGTTACTAACTTCAATTCAGTAGCACAATAACGCTAGCTGTTTCCGGAGGTGGAGACCTCAGTGCTACACATTGGACAGACCTGCATGCACAAAAATCATGTACAACAATCAACTGCAGCCCTGGAAATAACAATCTTATATAGAAATCTAAAAAATGAGCACTAAAAAGTAACACTATGTTATTATTCAACAAGTAGGACAGGGAATATGTGAACAATCTGTAAATATAGGTTAGAACAAAAGGATGCATGGGCTGATCACACGACTTTTACCCAGTGAGTAAGTTGTGTGCGGACATAGCTAGTATTATCCTGCTATTGCGATCATTAAGCACAACTTTAACTAATAGACCACACAGGATGAAGGAACCATGTGAGAGAGAGGCTGAGGCAGGAAACAACTACTACTTCTATATTACATATATTACACCTTTTACCCCCTTTTCTGCAAGTGGTTATCACATAAAAGCAGGTTCTATTACTTGACTAGAGAAACTCATAGTAAGCTTGAGAGCAAAACATATGGCAGTTATCCCTATTCTGATGCATCATAATAATTTGATAAACATAAAATTCAACAATTTAAATTCATTTAAGCTGAAGCTGAAATCAAAAGTCAAAACCATGATTTAATTCTATTTAATGCAGTGAATATACTACCAGTTATTAACATTTTTTTTCAACTAATACACAAAACGATGCAATGTGCAAGGGAATCCAACATCTTAATCATCATATCCATTCCAATGTGTCACACAAAATGGGATAAGAAGTCTAATTCCTATTTGGTCTGGCACGTAGCTAGAAAGTGAAGTAATTCAAGCCCAGGATCTAAGTCACTGCAAGAGTCTTTAAAAAAAAGGGAAAGAGAAGAGGAGTAGAGCAACCAGCTATCACCATCCAACATAGAAAGGTTACCCAAATTCTATAAAATGAGAGGACAATCTAGCTCACTGTGAACTGCATTTGTAAAAGAAGCACAGCTAACATTCAGCAAACGAGTTCAAGTAACTTGACATATACCAGCAGACCATGATGGAGCTAAAGCAAAAAAATTTAAGACTTGGCTTGAGCCACATATCAGACAAAACTGGTGTAGTTTCTAAAAGAAGGTCCAGAAGGTAGAGGAGACTTGACCTACAAACAACAAAACAGAAAAAATAGGAAGACATGACATTTTGACTCAAACACTACAAAGCAAAGATAGTCAATGGCTTAGCAAAGATATCATATAGCAAGCACACAGGACTGCTAAGATTGCAATATCCATTTGCAATATATGAGTCTCATTCACAGTTCAAGGATTGTAAGTGGGGAAGAAAGAGGGAGAGAAGGGGCTGCAATACCTTGTTTATTTGTAACCAATTGTTCAGACATTCAGAATGATAAGAATGTTTGCAGGATAGCACAGTCAATTGGTCACCATCTTCATATTCCAATCTACATATAACACACCTGGAGCGCAAAAGTGTCAAGTTGTGAGCACCTTCACATATAGAAAATAGTTCAGCATAGGATAAGTTAGCTTACGAATCAGTGGTCCCGTCTGATGCAGTTTGTGCCTTATAGTTCACTGAAGGCAAAGAGGCAATTGTATCAGCAGAAAGACCCCTGCTCTCAGTTCCAACAACTTCACCCAGTGCTATAAGTTCCTGCATGAGTACAGACAAATGAACAATACCAAGCATGTGAAGTAAAATATATGAAAGATGTCTAAAAGAGAAAACAACAAATCCAACAAACTGAAGTACCTCATAAGAAAGCTCATCAGGATCGACATCCTCCCATGCATCCTAAAAGCAACAAAATAGACATGTATGGTTAACTACACAAACTTAATACGAAATCACAAAGTTCGTCTCACGCTCCATTATGCAGAAATTCTATGCCTAGAAAATGATGGCGTCGTAGATGAACAGACTGAGATAACCTTAAGTAAACATGAAGAAATATACATGTTTATCCTGTCTATATCTGAAGAAAGCAAAACATGATAGAAGAAATCTTCAGCCTATGGGATTTAATTTTGCTTCTGTTGGCAGTTGCTGAAAGAATCCGTCAATTCGATTTCAAAAATGCATCAAAATAGCAATCATTGATACTCATTGGGGACAACTAAAGTAAACATGAGATAAGATTTCGCATAAGATATACCACATCTGACCTATCAGTTGCTATATGAAATTTGCAGATCTACCACAATTTTTACTAAACCATACAACAATAACAAATACTCCCTCCGTTTCATATTAGATGAGGTACTTTCCTTTTTAGTCTGTTCCAAAATAAATGACACATTTCTAAATTTGAAAATAATTCAACTTTAAACTCTTTCATTTTACTCATTTACCCTTAATGAAAAGCTTTTATAGCCACACAAATATCATGGACCCACAAACTTTTTACCCCTTAAGCTTTTAAGACCACAAGTTTCAAAAATCTTCTTCTTTTTTCTTAAACTTCGTGCCGAGTCAAACTACCTCATCTAATATGAAACGGAGGGAGTAGTACTCAGTCTCAAACAGGTAAGGGTCAGCTATACGAATCCTCACTGCCCATGCTACTCCATTTAAATCATCTCATGCCAATATTAAGCGAATAAAAATAAAAAGTATTAGAAGTATTGTATATTTGCTGAATGTATAAATTTCTAAAAGGTCAAACCACTACTAATGAGTATAAGACCTAAAGTAAAAGTGCTAACGTCTAAAAACATATTCTCAACGAATATGTATCGCAAATATATATCCTTTTTTTTCATTGTACCCAATCTTTTGCTAAGTGTTAATAAATCCCTCGGAATTCAGGTTCTTTGAGATAACTTTATTCCAAGTGATTTTAGGCCTACCTCGTCCTATTTTAACACCTATAATCACCATAGTTTTACACCTACAGGCTAGTGCGTCGCAGGACATGACCAAACCATCCCAAGCAACCTTCTAAGATTTTATCCTCAATGTGTGCTCCTTGAACCTTCTAGAGAATGTGATCATTTCTAATCTTATCTAATCTTGTATACTCACACATCTATCTTAGTCCTGGCACAATGTTGGTGGATCAGAAGCTTAAGGTGACTTTCTGCCAAGCCTTCTAAAGACTATTTACTTTCCTAACTTTTCAAATAAGGAAAACTCAGATTTTCTCAATCTTAAGTTTGAGGGGTCGTGTTAGAATGTCAAGCATTAGCGTATTAGGGTGTTAGCATGTTAGGTTTAGTTTTAAGTTCTCATTGGTTATATAAGATTATGAATCTCCGACCTACAATAGCAGTATTTTGCATTTCATTATCTCATCAAATCATCATTCTCTCTATTTTCTAACACCTTTCGTCTTTAGACTGTGCGAAAATTTAGATCTATACCCTTTCTATAAAGAATATTTCCAAATGCATTTAAAGTTGTTACAGTAAGACTTGACCTAGTTGCTCATGACTTTATTGGCAATGGAGGATTCTGTAGAAGTAATACCTGTTAATCTGGTCTCTACCGGAGCCACAAGCAACTATCTAAATTGAATCATTTAAAGGAAAAGCACTTGCAAATCACCGGTTATTAGTGGCATCTTGAAAACATTTAAATATTTTCAAACGAAGATTCAAAAATTCTAAATCGAAAATCAAAATTTTGTTTTCTTACTTGGGAACAGGCTTACCTTATGCTTCTCTGACAGGAAATCCTCTCTCATCAGTAATGCCCTATTGGCATGCTTTAAGTAACAAAATTTTTAGTATATGCAATAGTGTTGTTATACGATCCATAGAAGGAAGGAGTAGAACTTTATTGGGCTATTGCAGTGGTGACAATGTTGGTGATGACTGGTTGTACTGGCAATATCTAGACTAATAGAATAGAACTACTGCAATACACTTAATGTTATGATAAAACGTAATTCCATAAATATATGTGCATGCATCACAAAGAAAAACAAATATAAGTATGTGTGACTCTGTGTGTGTACCAAATCTTTTAACTTCCCAACTTATTTTTATTTTTAAGTATCACTCTAATACCAGATTCATCTGTCCTTGGGTCGCGGGTCTATCGGAAACAACCTCTCTATCTCCACAAGGTAGGGGTAAGGTCTGCAAACACACTATCCTCCTTAGACCCCACTTGTGGGATTACACTTGGTTTTTTGTTGTTGTTGTTACACTAATACCAAAAACTGTCATACACATATTCTGCACGGGGTTGTCCCTTCAATGGAACAGGTGGATGCAATTATCCAAGATGAAGATTATATGAATTCAACGTATTACCAATCTCAAAATTTATCAACGTTGATCTTTCCTGAACTTATGAAAAAGGAAGCTCAAAGAGTTCAAGATGCAAGAATATGAAAATTCTGATGAATTGACGCATATAAAGATACTATAAATTTAATATTCAGAAGCAATACTGTTACGCTGGCCAGAAATGCTAATTAGAGCCATTAGAATTCTATAACAGATTGTTACCTGGGAATTAATACCACGATCCTCTCCATCTTGAGCTTGTCCAACATACACTAAAAGTCATATTTGTCAATATTTTACAAGATAACAGAACGGAATGAAAGGGCTACCAACAACTGTAAGAATAAGTTTCAACAAAAAGACTAACTTTCATTTATCCCGGCAAGGGCCAATAATCTTGCTGCCATGTCCCTCTCTTCGGCATCTTGTAATGCTCTGGCATAGGCCTCATCACTAGAAAAAGCCGATGGGTCTAACTCAATCCCTTGGTTCTCATCCTCGCCAGCTTCATCATGAGCATGCACATCGAATGCATCTTCTTCATCCTCATCTACATTACTATCATCTTCTTCTTCGCTTGGATCATCAAAATCTTCATCATCCTCCTCATCATGGTCATAGCTCCCACCATCCCAACTCCCGAAATCAATCCCGTCACTGTTCATGCTAAGCATCATATAAGCCCTTTCCTATAAGATTAAACATAAGGGCGTCACCTCATAATTATAAGCAAAGACTGAAAAGGACAAACAAGTCACAGAAGATTTCATTCCCTAACTCAAGAGAAAATCCAGTTTCATTTGATCCCTATCAAGTTCCAAAGGAGGTTAAATGAACCTTTACATTTTTATATTTCAAGATCACAACCAGAAAGCAACAAGTCAGGAAACATCTTAGTAATATAGTTCGGCATGAAGAGTACTGCTGCAGATAAAAAGCTTCAGCGTTCTGAATTTGGTCAAAATATAACTTGGGCCGAATATTATCAAAGGCGAAAAAGCGCAAAAAGCTTCTAAAGTCTGTTGGAGCTTTAAGCGCAAAACGCAGCTTTAACAAAGAAATGCACAAATGGAGAAAAACTACAAATATATATGTATAATCCAAGACTAATATCTATAAGCATGAATACCAAATATACGGACAAAGAAATTGAAGAAAATTTACGATAAAGTGAAATATCAACTGCTTAGTGTCGCCTCTTCACGATTACGCTCATTGGCAAGGAAAAGTATGCTTTAGAGCCTTGATGACAACACTAAAGCACCTGATATGCGAGACGAAGCGCTCAACATGTTTTGAGCCTTACTTCCGGGATTAAGTGTGCTTTAAGCGCGCCTTTGATAACACTGCTTGGGCATATTTGACTGGAGTGTGTATAAGCATTACTCAGTTATTCGATTCGGTTGTGGTTCCCAAAAGAGCGATTCAACCAACCAAAAAAACTGGAGTTATGATGTTATATTAAGTCTGTTGCATGTAATGTGATCTCTTGTCATATAGTAGTAAATTTAACCTCTCTCCTATATAGCTTCTTTTTCCTTTTCCCGTATTCCCCTCTCTTTTACTCTTTCTCATTTTCCTCTCCCCATATTCCCCTCCCTCTTACTCTTTTCTCATTTTCGCTTTCCTTTTTCGCATTTCTTTATTTTTCTTGATCCTCTTTCTTTTTGGCTTTTCCAAACCCCTCCTGTTAACTCTCAGTTTCTCCTTTTATTTGCTCTCCGGCTTTGTCTTCAACTTATTTTCCCAGCCAGAATACTTTCATGGGCTTGTCTCAGCCCACGAGCCTATAATCTGTCTGCCATCTTGTTCCTCTAAATAACCATGATTGTCTGGAATCTCAGCAATCACAATGGCAAACTGCACCAGTTTTTTAAAACCAAGGATGCTCTACACAGGCAACTCCCCCNGCACAGGCCTGATATCTGGGATGATGATATCTATCAGTGAACAACTTATTTTCTTTTAATGCTTTAGAAATTTGACTCTTAAGTATGTTATATAAGTCACTTCAATCAAGTGTGAGCTACCATCATTCTACAAAGGGCTTTTAGTATTTAGATTATCTTTACCTCAAATAAAAGTTATAAGCTTTGATTCAAATAAAAGCATAATGACTTGGCACCAAACTTGATTCAAATAAAAGCATAATGACTTCAGATACTTCTCAGATACTATAGAAAGTACTCTTTTCCCATGTGCACCAAACTTCTATTCAGAATCTTATACTCCCTCCATCCTGATTTGTGTGGCATTATTTGACTTGGGACGGAGTTTAAAAAAAAAGAAAGTGTTTGAAACTTATGGTCTAAAATAAGGCATACACATTTATGCGGCTATAAATCATCTCATTAAAAGTAACATGAGAAATTTAAAGTTAGATTATTTCTAAATATAGGAAGGTACGAAACACATGATGTAATATAGTTATAGGTTGTATATAGCAAATCACATCATCCAAGATCCTGATATACACAACATGCTCATCTAGGGTCACAAAAGCTGAATCTTTAAGATGTAAAATAACCCCAATCCTAATTTAAAAATACAAAGCAAAACATGTTGGAGTTGAAATTAAACCCATTGTTTAGAAACGCACCCTTAGTCTATGGGAATAAGGAAGAAAATAAAAAAGAAAAAACTCCTTCAGTTCAAAGCTGAAACCTAATCAGTATTCACGCCAAGTAATGTGGATAGGGCAAAAACCTGCTCTTGTAAAGTGCGGGCGAGAGCAAGATCAGCATCCTCCTGACTAAGGTTGGTGAACGGAGTTCTCCCAGCAGAAACACCCGATTCCCCATTTGCATTGATTTCCACAACTTGCAAACTACTATCCCCATCTGGCCTATTGCCGCCATCGGGGTTTACTCGTTGTTGGTTGTTGGCATCAGCCGCCGCCGCGATGACGGTTGTGCTTTTAGCTGCTGCTGATGCTGCTTCGTTGTTGTTGTTATTACTTTTTGAATTCTCCATTTATGGGCGACGGAAAAGGTCCAGAGAGAAAGCGTGAATAGGTATTTAATAGGGTTTGGGAGAAGGGTAAAGAGGGGAATTGGAAGGGGGATATTCGGATTTTTGGTGAAGTTATATAGAAGAAGAAATCTTAAGCGTAGATGAAAGCGGATGGTGTGTGGGTTTGGTGACGGAGGGATGAATGATTAGAGAATAAATACGGAAGAAATAGGGAAAGCATTAGTATTTCTTTTGAATTGGGAATTTGACGTGCCAGGGCAGTCTCCCCTTTTCCAAACTAAAATACTCCCTCCCGTTTAATTGAGATGGGATAGTTTAACTAGACTTGTAGACTTAAAAGTTCAAACGTAAAAACTTTACGAGGTCATAATATTTATATGGATATAAAAAAATTTTATTAAGGATAAAATAAATAATTTAAAGTTGAATTATTTTTAAATTTAAAAATATGTCATTTATTTTAAAACAGACTAAAAAAATGTAACTCATTTAATTTGAAACTTTGAAGCTGACCATACTAACACGTTGTTCTTGTGTTGGTCTGGAAAATCAAATTTGTTGGTTGTCGTTCGCTCATTTTAATTAGGTGTCTTCGATGTTAAACGGGGGAACACATTTAAGGCGGTATCAAAGGCTGGTTTTGCGTGTTTTAGCTTAAAAGTATTTGACTTAAAAAAATTTATGGTCTATCCAAACACTCAAATAAACCCAAAAATGCTTTTAAGCTGGTTTGACCCGCTTTTAAGCCAATCCAAACACTCTCATAAAACTTTGATGATATTTCCTTTTCTTTACCAAAATAATAATAAAATAATTAACCCAAATTGTCGTCTATCTAATTTTTTAAACTAAAAATAACTGGTTGATGTATACTATACGTATAATTATACATAATAAGTATATAACTATGTATAATTAAGGTATGATCTATATATATTGGCTAGAAAAGTATGTAACACTCCAAAATAATTGTGAGCACGTGATTTTTGCCCTATATGAATTACTCCCACAAATTCAAAACAAAATAAATTTTTCCATTATCTGTAAGTTCGTAGATTTTTGTAGCATTTTTTGTTAAATTGTTTGCATTTGTCTGTGCACGCTTATCCTGTTTTAATTCATGAAAAATACAAATATGCTGCATTTGCATTTAGGATTTAATTTTACATTTTTGAATCAAGTAGTAAATTATTTGTTTTATAAGAATTGGAAAAATCACAAAAAAAGTTATTTTTGCACTTTTAATTTAAATTTTGAATTTTGGTAGTTTTCCCTTTAATTTTGTTCTTAATTATTTGTGGTAATTGTTATTTAGAGTTAGTTAATATACTTTGATAGCATAATTTGATTAGGAATTAATTTAGGTTTTATTTTTAATTATAATTTAAAAGAAATTAGAAAAAAGATTTGAATTTGAAAAGAAAAACAAAAGGAGAAAAGAAGGATTAGAGGGGATTTGATTTTGGGCCTGTTTTATTTCAAAATCCACAAGCCCAAATCGTTCTTTTTCCCAAATACCCGCCCAACTCCAGCCTAGATCCATCCTCAATCTGGTCCAAACCCGTGCATAAACTAAACGACGACATTTTGCCATCCCTTTATCTGAACCGATGATTTCGTTTCATCCAACGGCCTTGAAACTTTCCCCATCTCGAATAAGACTGTTCGAGATTCCCCATTGAGACCTAAGACCAAACAAACCCTCCCCTCACCTCCCTCATCAGATAACGCCATCTCCAAGCAAGTCTGCCATTATCGCTGGCGAAATAGCTTTAATCACCACCAAAATTTGGCCATGCAACCATCACCCCTCCCTGCATCCTAATCCATCACCATTTTTCCCAAAATCCTCACCAAATCGGACCTGTTTCAAATCTGAAATCGAAGGAGAAGAAAACATCTCAAGTCCTCGAGTTCTGATGAACGATTGGGCTTGAAACGAGTATCACTCGTTTGTTCTCAAAAGGAACATAAGGTTAATACCAGTTTCGAGTCAAGTCGGAATCGTTGAGTTTGTCAAGCCCTGTCCGTATGGCCATCGAGGTATTTGTTCTTTGTTCTTTCGTCTCTATCGTCTGCTTCATGTTTGAACCGGCCTTCTTCCGTTTCTTTTCTTTTTATTCTTGTTAATGTTTAAAGCCATGGTTCTAAGCCTTATTCCCCTTTAGTTTAAGTATAACTTTAAGTTCAATCAAACGGGTTGGCATATCAATATCCTGGGTATAATGTGATTAATCAGTCATCTTAATAGCTAAATAACTGCTTTCCGAGCATCTCTAAGTGAACTTTTGTTTTCTGCTGAGTTTCAAGGGGTTGGTATGTTTGGAAGATTTCTATTAAGTTCAGAGTGGGCTGTTAGTACAGGCTCATGGTTTGGGCTGGGTTTTGAATTAATTCAACCTAGGGTCAACTTTGATTCATATTGGTTTTGGTTTCAGGGGTAACAACAGGGGCTCATGGGGGCAATTTGGGAATTCTAGGCTAGGGAAATATTGTGTAACTGAATGGGAAGCTTCTGGGAAGTTGGGGAGGGGGACTATTCTGAAATTCTGACATTTGAACTAAGAGTAGTTAAGCAAAATTAAAAATTGACTAAGGTTTGCTAAGCTAAAATGAAAATATTGAAAGGGGCAAGGTGCAAAACTGATACTTTGAAGCAGCCCTAAATAACTTGCCTATAAAGGCTCTTTAACTTGGCATTCAAGGCAAGGGTTTTAGGAGAAAAAAAGTTCTGCAAAAATTCAAGAACGGCTGACTGAGAAAGCTAAAATAAAGACTGAGTTTTAGAAACAACTAATCTCATTTTGAAATTCCGAAAAAATGCTGAAAATTGCTTGAACTAGTTTTGATTTTGGTTTTTAGTTCTTTGAATCTGTTGTTAAGTTACAATTTTCTAAAAAATTCCAAAGTTGTATCTGGGTGAAGAAATGGCTTGAGTGAGGGTTAGAGGTCTAGTTTGAATCGCTTGGAGTTGGTTTTTCTTTAGAAGTCTGGGTTCATTTCAGCTGCTAATACTGTTGCATTACTACTGATACTGTTTGCTGTTGCTGGCCCCTCATTCTTCTCACTTTCTTTACTTTTCAGGTACCTTTTGGAACCATATACAACATGTAAACATGTGAATCTAAGCTTTGAATGTGAAATACTTTGGATACAAGTTGTATCTCAAGTCTATTTCATCTGTTGTTTTTTTATTTTTGTATTGTTATTTATGTAAAACCTAAATTCTGCATGATAGCCTAGCTCTTTATCATGTTGTTAAAATCTTGTAGAGTAAATCTATGTGTGCTCGTTGGTTTGATTCTGGGAGTGTATGAGTATGAAGTTGGATTCAAGTAAATTGAAGTTCTGAGCGTATGGATTGCAAAGTCGTTGAAATAGTTATTCTGACATATATGTGTCATGAGTTTATTGTAATAGAAGTTCAGGTGTAGGCTACATATGATTGCTTCATATCTCTATAAAATTATGAGAGTCAGTGTTTTTTTAGGGGATGGTTTGAATTTGTTAAAGTAACATGGTTAAGCATGAAATCAGGACTGTGTTTTTTTCTTATTTGGTAATTATGTTTGCTACTATGGATTTTGCTAGACTTCAAGAGATAGGTTTATTGTTTGAGAATGGTCATAGCATCAATGTTATATTTGTTCTAGGAACCAAATTTAACACCATGAATGTGCATTGTATTTGTTTAAAGTTGTAAGTGTATCAAGTAATCACTTTAATTTTTCAGAATTCCATGAGGAAATATAATTGCACCATTTATTAACTTTAGTCCATGTTACTGGGGTGCAGTTTCAGGCCTAGTTGCAAAAATGTTGTTTTATTTGGTGTGGGCTTTGCATGAGCCCATTCCTTCTTGTATATGTGGACGCATAAGTGCTTTCAAATAGCAACTGGACTTGCCTGCTTCAGATCTCCTCCGCATAGTTGAAATGGCATGACCCAGTTAACAAATGAATCTGTTTCCTTCTGTTTTATTCTCTTTTACACAAGGTTTCCCGTTTAGTTAATATAAACACTAGAATTAAAAAAGGGGCTAGAAACACTAGGATTAATTTAGCTTCGGGGCGTGCCATAATAAAAATAGTTTATAGCCCTCATAATTTGATTTAGAAACCTCTTGAAAATTCGAGGCGTGTCGTGCCAAACAAAAGTCTTCAAATGCATGGCCCTCATTTAATTAATATTTTTATCCTTAGAAATCGAGGCATGCCATTTAGCGAATTTTTTGTGGCCCTCACAAAGTTGCAAACGCGTAGTTGCTTTAGACGCGTTATTTTAGTAATTTACCTTCCTAAACTCGGGTGCGCATTTATGTGACCCAAATCCAAATCTCAACAATGTTATATAAAATGTGTTGCAGACTACGGGTGCATTTATGTGACGTGGTTCAAGACATATTTTAAGTGACGATGCAATCTTCCTAAAAATGAATAAAAGCAGCTATAAAATTGAACCATAGGTTAAACATGTATTAAAATCAGATAATAGGCCAATTATAATAGTTGAGCGACCGTGCTAGAACCACGGAACTCGGAAATGCCTAACACCTTCTCCTGGGTTAACAGAATTCCTTACCTGGATTTCTGTGTTCGCGGACTGTAAAACAGAGTCAATATTTTCCTCGATTCGGGATTTGAACCGGTGACTTGGGACACCATAAAATTATCCCAAGTGGCAACTCTGAATCTGATAAATAAATAATCCTGTTTCGATTGTCACTTTAAGTTGGAAAAAAAACTCCCTTATACTCCCTTCCGAGTGTGGTAGGTAAAAAAGGAGGTGTGACAGCTCTGGCGACTCTGTTGGGGATCGAACCCAGAATCTCTGGTTCAGGGTTCAAGAATTCGAGCTTAGAATAATTGTTATATTTGGCTATGTTTATTATCTGATTTTATTACATGTTTTGGCTAAATGCTGCTTTTACCGCTTTGATACTATTTGAACTGTACATAAACTGCTACGAAACCCCTCTCTTCTCTCTCCTGAGGAGTGCACGCTGGTTGTGACTTCTTTATATTAGTTTCATATCCCAAATAGGATGAGGTTCGGACAAGTTGCAAAGCCGGATGATCTTTTGGTTACCGGTNAAAAAAAGAATTTTGTTTTGTTTTGAAAAAAAAGAAAAAAAAGAAAGTTGGTTTTTGTCAAAATTTCCCGAACTACGTCAGTTTGATTCTCACAAGGTGT